CCGAGAGTTTAAATCAGAACACGTGTGCCACCCCGGTGGCCGCCACCCGCCTGACTCCGAGTGGCTGAACGCGTCCGTTCCGAGAGTTTAAATCAGAACAGCGTGTGCCACCCCGGTGGCCGCCACCCGCCTGACTCCGAGTGGCTGAACGCGTCCGTTCCGAGAGTTTAAATCAGAACAGCGTGTGCCACCCCGGTGGCCGCCACCCGCCTGACTCCGAGTGGCTGGACGCGCCCGTTCCGAGAGTTTAAATCAGGACAGCGTGTGCCACCCCGGTGGCCGCCACCCGCCTGAATCCGAGTGGCTGGACGCGCCCGTTCCGAGAGTTTAAATCAGGACAGCGTGTGCCACCCCGCGGGCGGCCCCATTTGAGCCGGGCCAGCGGTGACGTCAGTGACAGCTGAGTGGCGCGCTGGCTCCCGTCCGCCCCTCCCCTTTCAGGACTGATCTTCCGCGGCCGTGTTTGCCCAGGGTCAATCGGAGTCACGTTATTGCGTGGTGGCCGCGGGTGGGGCGCGCCCCGGGCCTCTAGCGCACACCGCCGATGGCCGACAACGGAGGTGCAGTCAGTGGTGGCCGGTGGAGGAGCAAAACAATCAGAGGAGGCACAGAGGGAAAGAGAATGAGCGAGCAGCTCTTATGTTTTGCTTGCTCTTTTTCCCAGCCTTCATCAAGCAGTGTAATCTTACACATGGAATCATAAGCCAAAGCATGATAAGTTTAAAGTCTCTGAGACGTGGAGCGCAGACGTTATGCCCTTTGCCATGCAGATACCAAATAAACTACGGTAGGTTTTTCGGCTGCATTGAAAATCGTTTGAGACGTTGTGCTGAAGCCCAGTGGCTTTCACCTAATCATCAGTGTGAAACCACCCGACATAAATTAAACTCTATATGATCTGGGGGCGGCTCCAGAACCGGTTTTTGGAATGCTTGTTGAGACAGGTGAGGCTCTGTGCGAAACAGACATGTCCACATGTGCGTTGAATATACCCCTACAATGTGAGACTGGAGTAAGCTTTTTAGCAGATTTGGTACCAGGCATGACAAGGCAATTTTGGTGACTTAAATGCATGTGAAAGTCAGCGGATTCAGCAGAGACGCTGAGGAAGATTGGCAATTTGACTGTCGGGATGAGCCAAGTTCAGTTACCAAAGGAAACAGTGCAACCTCATTTAGACAGCATTTATCGATAACATTTTTACACCCTCAGTTAATGCACATTAACTAACAAATACACAAAACCCAGACATCGACCTGATTAAATATCTCCATTTTTATCGATACTTTGCTAAAATGTCAATCAGCAGCAAGTGACGCTACCTCAACGGGACACAAAAAAAAACTATACATCAAGCCATCAAACTTTTTGTGTCTAAAAATCAATAACGTAGAAATGGTTATCTATCAAACCGACTTGAAAGGTTCAAAAGTAATTACATAGGTCTTGGCTCAGATGTCTTTTTGCGTACCTAGCTGATGTACAGATACTTCTTGTCCCGTATAAAAGGTCATAACAGTCAAACACCATTCATGAGCGCTGTGCTGGTAAGGTTTGGAAGGACATGTCCGTACATGCCAGCAAAGGTCAGAGGTCTGCTAGGATATCTCCGTCTATGCCAATAAATTCATTCAGGCGTGGGAAAATTTTAACAGAGAAGTCGAAAAATGAATGGCTTTATTTAGCCTTAAGACAAGAGGATCAAACATGATTCAGATTAAATTTGTTTAAGACAGAATCGATTGACTTGCAACTTTTCCGAAAATGCTGCGGCTCACAGGGCATGGCTGACGCATCGGAGCCGAGCATGGGTCTGGTATGAGGCGAATTGTTGACCATGGTGGCCAGCAGTCTGCTGACTGAGCGTCCCCGTTCGTTCCAGATCAGTCTGCACGTCCACCGACCGCCACCGGGCCGAGCGGACTGAGCCTGACTGAGCCTCCCCACCAGCGGCGGAGGCCTCGCCATCGGCTGCTGCTCACAGCTGCAGAGCTCACCATCGGCTGCTGCGCGCAGCGGCGAGGCTCGCCATCGGCTGCTGTGCACAGCGACAGGGCTCACCATCGGCTGCTGTTCACAGCGACGAAACTCGCCATCGGCTGCTGCGCACGGCGGCAGGGCTCGCCATCAGCTGCTGCTCACAGCTGCAGAGCTCACCATCGGCTGCTGCGCACAACGACGAGGCTCGCCATCGGCTGCTGCGTACAGCGGCGAGGCCCCGCCGCCTGTCTGCCCGCCGAGAAAGGGCCACTGCGCTCTGCAGAGCACAGCAAGCTACGCTGAGTTCCTGTAAGGCGGCGAGGTCTGGCAGAAGCTTGTTTGTCACCCGAACAGCGCAAGGACCGGCGCCCCCTAGTCAGCTGTCGTGATGGGAGCGTCGGGCCTGCGCGACAGCACCGCCCTGAGCGGCCCCACCCGCCACGTCTCCTTCCCGCCGACACCGCGGCCCACCGGGCCGCCGCGCGCCACGAGGGCGCGCTGGCGTCGCCTGGAGCCGCCCCGCATCGTCGTGGAGCTGGCTGAGGCGGAGCCGGCAGCACCACCTGCGAGTCACCGCCCCAGCCGGGGCCGTCGTGTCCGCAGCGGGCGGCGCCGCGCCGCCGGGCCGGGTCGAGCCTCCGGCCGCCCGCTGCGCTGCGGATGGCTCGGCTGTGGAGCAGCGGGATCACCGCCGGCGCACGGTCGCCTCGCTAGCCCGCCCGCTGCCAGCAGCCGGAGGAAGAACAGCTGGAGCTGCGAGCGCGACGCGCCGCCGGCCGGCAGCTTGCTGGCGATGGCGGCCGGCGTCGGTAGGAGGACCTCGCAGCCGGAGCCGGCGGCGGTCGTCTGGCATGGGCCCGGTCCAGGCGCACCGCAGCCGCCGGCTCTGGCGGCCTCCCCGCGCACACGCAAGCGTGCCGTCGTGTTCAGCACGCCTGCTGGCTTGAGTGTGACGTCACGGTCGCCTCCGGCAGGCGGTCGGAAAGCCGCCGCCGCACACCGCGCCACAGCGACATCCTCGAGTACCGGCCGATGCCGGCGCTGCTGCGCCCCGAGGCGCGCGACGGCCGGGTCCGGCACTGGCGACCGGCGGCACAGCGACGCCCAGCGGCGCGGCTGCAAACCTCAACTGCGTCAGCACGCCGCCGAGCTGGTGGTGTCCGACCTGAGTAACGGGAACCTGTCGGCGCCGGCGGTGCGACTGTTGGGTTGACAAATGCGGCTCAGCGCCTGCCGGCCGCCGGCCGCGTGCGCTGCCTGCTGCGGAGGCTGGACGCGCCGCCGGTGAGCGTGCTGAGCGAACGGTCTCGTCGCGTCACCATCCAGTGCCACAGCGAGCGCAGCCCGAGCGTGCAGCTGGGCAAGCCGCAGGGGGCCGCCCGGGTCCGGTCCAAGTCCATGTCGGCCATGGACTCGAACGAGCGGTACAGGCGGCGGCATCGTGTGCAAAACCGACGACATTCTGCGGCTGCAGCGGTCGTTCGAGAAGCGGCTGTCGCTGGCGACAGATGCGGCCTCGTCTTCGTTGGTGGGCGGTCCCAGCGCGCCACTGGCAGGATAGTGGACAACGTCAGTAGTGCCCCGCCGCTCTTAGAGGAAAGCGTTGTTCCGTGGGAGGGCAACGGGCTGTTTGTAAACGTTTCTGCTCTTGGCGAAGCATTGGAAGAGTACTTGAACGTTTGCTACAACTTTAATGCGAACTAATGTGGTTCCAAATAAACAACTTCATCTATCATGTACGGCATGACCGTCCGTAAATCGAATGGGTCCCACGTGACCGCACAAGCCTGCTTGTTACATGTCCTGTTGTGAGCCGCCGTGTTTGATGTCACAATGTGTAAACATCAATAAACCTGATTGGATGCTGGGTGGTGTTTAGAACCAGAAAAAAGCCCTGACGGAAATGGTGAGGCTTTTAAAATACCACGTGCAAGATCACTCAGGCCTTTTTCTAAAAAGGGTGGATCCGTTCTTCCCGACACCCCACGGTGACTTGTACTGAAGCGTAAAGACCGCAGCATCCCGGCACCCGACATCCCACGGTGACTTGTATTGAAGCGTAAAAGACCGCAGCATCCCGGCACCGACATCCCACGGTGACTTGTATTGAACACGGTGTCCAGTATTGAAAAATGTAAGCCAGGGCCGTGAGTGAACGGGAAAAACCTCTTCACCAGGCATCATGTGAACAGGACCGCGGCTCTGTCACGCTGCCGGGCCGGGCGTCCCCCGTGCCGAGCTCTGGCTCGACACTTGGTTGTCTCTTTTCCGCCGTTTTGGTCGTGGCAGCTCTAGCTAGTCATGGTAGCCATTACATCCCGTCTGGTACGACGTACTTTTTCCTTGGTTTATTGTAATTCTTGCTTAAATAGATCTTCATTTCTTTGGTTTTAACTGATCCTTTACGTTCTTCGGTTTGTAAATGTATTCTTAAATGTCCCTATCAGTCTCCCGCTCTGCGGATGCTTCCGTCAAGTCGCTCAGGCATTGAAGGGGGCTGTAAGTGGTCCCCAGAAAAAGAAAACCTGTAATGCCCTGGAACTGCAAATCAAAAACACAAACGCACATCGCAACAGTCGGTGTGTTAGACGTGCCATAAGCAAACTATGAGACGTTCGGATAACTACCGAAAACCACGAGGATGTGGATGGTTTATTCACTTCCAGAGTAACATATAAACAATTTCTCAGGTTTTCATGACCTCGCACACATACTGACCGGATCACATGGTTCTCATATCAGCGTAAGCTCCGTTTCCTGAACGACTTCTTGGGAGCGATGACGGTGGTTATGAGCGTTGGAACGGCATTGGTGTGGGTTTGAGGTTTTCTTTTTTTTTTGGGGAACATTTTTTAAACATAATCTTTCGATATTGTCGAAAGGAGCCTCCAAGGACAAAGAAAAAAGATAAGCAAAAGCAAAGGTAACCAACATTTGCGACGGTATCCAATAAACCAGCCGCACTTCGTCATAGTAGATCAAGCTTTTGTGTGAGTATATTCCAAAGAACAGGACGTCGCCATGTATCAAATATCCGGCGTAGGTGAGCCGACTAAGGGGCACAAAGCCCGGGTGCGAGAGGAACGTGTTGATGACGCCGCCGTAGCCGGTGACGCAGGCGAAGATGACCCAGGAGACGGCGAGGCCCCAGGCCAGTCGGTGCAGGCCGCCGTACGCCACGGCCACGGCCTTGCTCGGCGTCGGGTCCCAGGGCATCTGGTAGCCGTACATGCCGTACACGACGGAGATGCCGACGGCGAAGGCGGCGATCCAGCCGGGCAGATACTGCCACGGCCTCAGCGTGACTCGTCTGCCGCGCAGCTTGTGCAGGAGGAAGCCGAGCCCGATGCCTACCAGCCACACCGTGCAGCGCATCCACGGGTACTTGTAGTTACGAGCCCATAGGTCACTGCGTTCCGACCTGAAGTGGAACTGCAGCGGCGGGAGATCACCGCCGGTCCAGATCGCCACGATCGCCGGCGATCGCCACGCGTCATCGCCGGCCCAGATCGCCACGCGGAGCACCAGGAACCCGACGGTGACGGCGCACAGCCAGAGCACACGAGCACAGGCCGCCACACCAGAGGCAGGAGCACCAGCGGCGAGAACGCGAACAGCTGCACGTCGACGGCGAGGTCGAGGTACCAGGTCGGGCCCAGACACCCCCCGCTTGTGGTCCACGAGGTTCTGAGCGTAGAGGAGGTTTTTCCGCCAGCTCTCCTGGCACCGGGACTGCGGGACTTTCGCGAAGCTCCAAAGCGGGCCGCTACCAAGGTGCAAAAACAGTGTGGCGGTGATGGCTATGATGAAAGCGTATGGCACTGTCAGTCGCAAGGGAGCGATGTATGTAGAGCATGGGCAAGTTGAGCTTCCCGGTTTTCTGATGAGCGTTACAGAAAACTGTAGGCCAGTACTAACCTGACAGCAAAAGAATGTGTCCACGCTCAGCAAAGAGTTCAATACAACCTCAAACAAAGGATTCTGCCCCATTTAAACGCAGCCATGGGACTGTAGTCAGTGGAGAATGCAGCGAAAGCCGCGTGACCTAGAGAACACCCAAGTCATGGAGAAGAACCGGATGCTGTGTAGACAGGCGAGCGTCCCCTCCCGTGGCGTCGTGTCCAACAGCTTCCGAGTGTTGCTGTACACTGAGAAGGCGAGCAGAGCCTGCTGAGGACGTCCAAGCGCTGCCCTCGGCGGCTGGGTTTGACGCGTCTCCCTGCTGGCCGGCCGGGGGATCGGCGCCGGGCACGCATGCGCACGGCTTCAGCTGCAGCATCGCCATCAGGCGACGGGTACAGCCCCTGTAGTGCAGGTCCAGGCAGGTGCCCGCCACCATGAGACCGCCGAACAGAACCATGATGGTGATGACGGCCCTGTCCGGCGGAGTGAACTCCACAGAATCCTCCGACGTCGTCGACTGGAGCGCCGACACTGACACCTTTCTGCCGAGCAGCAGCTGTAGCCCGCGCACCACGTCATCGCCAGAGCAACTGGACGGCACGCACATGCCGATGACACCGGTAGCCTTGCCGACGCTGGGCAGGATGGCGACGGCGACGATTCCACCGTCGTCCTCAGACGGGTCTTCTAAGGCGCTCCGGTTCGGCTTAACGGTGACGGGAACGTACCGACCCACGAAGTGCCCCGGGCGGGCACGTCGGGGTACTTGGTCGCGTTCAGGGTCACGTCGACGCTCAGGCACCGTCGAACGAGCCGAGGGTGTTGGTATTCCCCGCCAGTACGCCGTCGGGAAGCTTTCCAATGGCGTCGAACACTGGAATGGAGCAAGGACTTTGTCTCACGTGTCCTGAGCCGGCACGTTGAGGACAGTTGGACACTGCATTCTGGCACCTTGTGTTTTCATCCGCTCACGCTCGAAACGCGCAAGAACGTTAACAAAAAGCGCAGCACAGGACTGATGCCAGCTGTTCATTTCATCACGACCCAGGCCACCCCGCAGCACAGTGCCTATCGTGCATGCTTAAAACAAAAGATATCCCTCGGGCTAATTGCAATCATAGAGCTCAGTAATTCACCAGCGTTGCCATCCAGATCACCTACCACAAAAAATAAAATAGCAAATGGTGTACCTCACATTACCCCCATCGAAGACAAGCTATGTCGCGAGGTATTCTAAAAAAAGCTATTCGTAACAAAATAATGACGTAGAACGTCTGGAACATCTGGGCCAATCCAGACGCACGACAGCAGTCGCTGGTGCGCACCGACCAGCGCAGACCGACGTGCTCGATCAGGAGGGGCAGCTGTCTCGTGTGCCTCTGAATTTGAAAGCAGTTGGTCCCCCAACCATGCGGGGTATCAAGTTACATGTAGTCCGCATCGGCTTACTACAGAGTACATGTGACTTGAGTATGACAGACATACCCAACAATAGATGTGACAGAGTGGTGCAGACCAACGTGCTCGATCAGGGGGGGGGGGGGAGCAGCTACGTCCCGTGTGCCTCTGGATTTGATAACAGCTGATCCCCAGCCATGCAGCGTATCAAGTCACATGTGCTCTCGATTGGTCCAAACGCAGAGCGTCAGGAGGTCAGATTGGATTGGTCCAGACGCAGAACTTCATTGGTCCGGTCAGAATTCACATGTGCTCTGCGTTTGGCTTAGTACATAGGAGAGCGTATCCGTCCGGTCCGTGGAAGGTTGTTCTACCATCGCCGCGCGGCGTTCGTTGAGGATATAAGCAACGTGGTTGGGCTCCATTTTCGGACCAAGCACGGATTTCATGCAATCCCTGACATGTCAATATGGAAGGAAATTTTGCTCAAGTCTTTTGGGCATGCATAAGCAAACTTAGGGGAAAGATTTTCATTCGTAATCTTAAGCTTTCCAAGCACAGACAAGCAGCTGGCCCTTAAAGGGATAGTCGAGAACATTTGCTTCACATGAAACTAAGGACACTGACTTTGTATGTTCTTGATTGCCATTGTGTGCCTATTTGGCACGAATTATGGCCTTCTTGTTTCGCGATCTAGTCACCGTGTAAATGTCACTGGACGTTCCACTGTTATTCCACTGTTACAATGTGCAAAATGTTAACATTTTTCTTCAGCACGAGTAAGCTGGAATAATCTGTTAAAAATACCTTGGTAAAAATCGTTTGCATCAAGTATCCCTACAAACGTTCCATGTTCCGGGTTCCAGTTAGGCTTTGTACTTTAATTAATGGATCACCAAACAATGCGAATTATAATAGACAAACTTACCTGAACAAGCCTGTGAAACATGATTGATTTCGCATGCAACTCAACTCATTTGAATCTGAGACCGAAGCCAACAAATGTGCCGCGTAGTATTACGGTAGGATTTGGCCAGCCAAGATCGTCAAGATAGATAGGGTCAGGCAAGATAGGATACTTGGGTGGAATGCTTCAGTAAATAAGGTGGTTCGCGTTGTGCCAAACTTTTGCCATCATGCTTAATTCATTAAGCCTGGTGATGCAGTTTTGGAGACAGTTCGGACAACAGACCACCTCGATCAGTAACTGTAAGTGAGCGATGACCAGCATTGGCCAACGTAATAATCCCAACAAATCAATAAATGATGCCATCACCATTGATTCTATCAGGGACACTTGACACAGGCCATCTGATGTTCCTTAGTACTTGGTGCTTCATGTCCCTCCCGGCTCCCAAAGGATCCACGCACTTTTGGCCGCATAATTTTCAAATTCTTGCTCTTTTTTCTTTCTTTCAATTTTTAAAATTCTTGAAGCTGTCTAAATCCAATAAAAGGAAAGAGTTCTGAATAAGTAATGGCTTATGGCAACATCACACAATACGGCCATTATAACGCTGGAGCTGGTGGCGTTGGTGCCTCTTCGAAACGAAGATTTATAGACCCATTGTGATGCCCCCTAGGATTTTGGAGCTGTTTACAAGAAAGACCCACCGTGCAAAGAAAATTACTCTTTTCGCGCTCCACTCTGACGAGACTTTGATGTCCCTTTCAAACCCTAAAATATCATGGGTAACCCAGAAGAGGACCGTAATTCTCTGGACCCCTCTGCATCCGCTCCTGCAGAGCTCACGGGTGACTGCTTTCGCTCGTGAGACGGACGCTGTCCCACCATGACCGTGCAGGCGTCTGTTCACATTGCGACGCAGTTTACCACTCCATCTGCACAGGCCTATGTCATAAATTACCAACAGAGAATCAACGGCGATGCAGAATTTCATCTAGTGACAACTTACTGGGTTTTGGCCACAGGGCTCTCCTGTCAGCCTCGTCCCAGAAGATCCTGCTGTGCGCCCGGCAGAGGCCGTCACTGGCCTGGAAGCGTCGGCGCCGCCAGGCGGGACACGGCCAGACGCTCTCCGGAGGGCAGCGTCCTCTCCTCCAGCAGCCCGCCAGCATGTCCACCGTCCGCTCCGCGCCCGCTGGCGATGAGAAGGCGGCTAGGGGTCGCCAGGCAGGAGCGCCGGCAGGCGCCGGCAGCGTCAGCTTCATGGCCCGCGCGGCGCAGGCGCAGTGGAGACGGTGCCGGTCGACAGTGTACGTCACGCCCACGTCGGCCGAGGGTGCGGGGCTGTCTGCAGGAGCCTGGAATTTCACCGCGCGCTGAGCGTGGGCGGAGCCAGACGGAGCTGCATCAAGTGACAGAGGCGGAGTCGGGGAGAACCTGACAGGCGGTCACGCCGCACAACGACGCACGTCTCGGAAATGCTACGGCTGCTCTGCTATGGTTTGTGCAATGAAGGAACTATTTAAAAAGGCCCCCTCCCCTTACACGCACCCCGTTTTCTTGACCTTGTCTTAGCGGGGGGGAGAAGGTGCCCTACCCTGGCGGTGACGGTATGGCGGTTGCCCAAGATTTATTACCGCATTCGTTATACAATGGTAGCCAAATGATCACGACTTCCCTTGGCCTTGAGCAGCACGAATTCTTTATGATGCCCCCAACCGACACTGCCAGCCAGGGACGTCAGTCAGCTGAGGGATTAACTAGTATTTTTTTCTTGCCTAACTCCACACAAGCCGGATGGGTGTCAAGTGACCCCCGACGAAGCTGGCCAAATTGATTTTAGAAAAGCCCCCCCTTACACTAAAGTTTTGGGCCCAACTTTATTTCAAAAATAATTTCCGAACGGCGCAGTGTAGCGTATCCATGCCAAGCTTTGCAGAGATGTAGGCAGTGAGTAGTAGAACCTTTAATATCAAATGGGGTGCGTTTATGTCAGTTCCCTGATCTACTGATAGGTCAAAGTCAGGCCATGGCTGTCCGTGAGGACAATTTCTGGGGAGTTTTCAATCTGATCCGACCCACGGAGGTTAGACGAAGCCCATACATCTTCGAGATAGTGTCTAGACCTCGAGATCCTCTCAAAGAATTTTCTCAGAAACTGAATTACGACTGCAACACGTTCTATTGACCTTGAGTCAGGCATGAAGGTCAACCGAGGTCAAGAACAGCGTGTTTTTTATTGAATAGCCTTGTTAAACCCTCGCCCGGCCGGCGGAATATATGTCCCCTGAGATCTCCAAACTCCCAGATGCCGTATGAGAAAAACAGGGGCACTGCTTCGAAGGACTCATCAGATCATGAAGAATGCATACTAAACTTTTGACTTAAGTTAAAATTGTTGAGGTCACCAGAGGCCACGAAAGGTAGGAGACGGTCGTTCCGATAGATGCAGTTTTAAAACCTATACTAAACACGTCAAGATAGATATTGAGGGAAGGGAACTAGGCTTGCAGGCTGCAGGGAGTCCACTCCGACCATCCCCCCCCCCCCCCCCCATGGATCAGGAAAGACGGATTACCATTCAAAATTGTTGTATTAACAGTCTACAAAAACGATACTTTTGGTTTTCGTAGACTAAAGCAGCTTGATGTGCTTCTGACTAAATATATTTGATTACATCCAGCTGCAGGATAAACGTATTTCGGACACGAGACACAACAATACCATATTCGGGTGGCCTAGAGGTCATCTGAGGTCAACTCAGGTCAAAATAATAAGCCATCCAACATGAGAAAAAAAACCTGAAATGCTAACCGAGTATGTGACCAGAGTAATATTTTTCTGTGGTCAGAAATAATGTATTGTGCATTAAATTATGTGTTTTGTGTACTACTTGCTCGACGAACAGCATACAATTTGGTGATCTTAAAATAATTATCGAAGTACCGCATTCTTTTCACGTGTAACTTATTGTACATGTGTATGGGGTGGCGCGATTGAGGGCCAGGTGCAGAGGATTCAAAAAGCATTTTAACTTTTCGAGAATTTTGCCACCAAGATTGCCTCTGGCATCAAAAGGAACTACAACATAACACTGGATCTGGAACCTCTAGACTGCCCCCAAGTTGATGACTTGGTGAAACAGAGGCATATTTGCAGGTACTCATATCTCACAACTGTTTGTCTACATTATGCATAGTCCCTTCGGCGCTTGACAATGCATCTGTAAGAATGTGAGGACAGGTACTTTGGTGCATGAAATTGGACGTTATCAGCTTCACATTAGCGATAAGGAGGTGGTT